CATCCCCCTCTCCCTCCTCCTCGTTCTGATCCTCCTCCTCTTCCCTTCCTCCTCTTCTGCCTCCTCCTCTTCCTCCTCCTACCCATGCTGCTCCTCCTCTTCCTCCTCATCCTCCTCCTCCTCCTCGGCCTCCTCCTCCTCCTCCTCCTCCTCGTCCCCGCCCTCCTGCGAAAAGGACTTTGGAGTGAGGGCGTATTCCAACATCGTTGATAACTCTTGGGTTTGCGCTGGTCGCCCTCCTCCCCCTTGTCTTCGTCCTCGTCCTCCCCCTTCTACTCTCCCTCGCCCCCGTTTCCCATCCCGTTTCCTCATGAGCAATTTCACCCCTGCCGCGCCCCCAGGTGTGTCGGTAGCGCGGGTCGGTCGTCGCGCCTGAGACGTCCCCGCCATCTATGATCCTGCAGCTTGAAACTCACAACGGCTTCTCGGGTGGATGGCGGCTGGATTTCAACGTGCGCCTCTCGCCTTAGCGCAGCGCGCAGTCATTTCAAACGTCTGCGGGAGCTTCCAGGATGGAGGGCGTCTCGTTTGCAAAATGTCCTTCTCGCCTCAGCGGCGCACGCGTTCGTTCTAGAATTTCGCAGCAGTTCAAAAGATTCGCATGGCCGACCTCTTTCACGTTGATTCGCGGGGCTGAAGTCCTAGAACTTATCACTTCTAATTTCTAGGATCGAAGACGAGATCATCTGCTTCGCATCATTAATGATGCTTTGTCACGATCGAAGACTCTCAGACGGTTGCCTTCTAACGGGGCACGTCCCGAAGTGTGAATACATGCGTGTAAGGACCTATGTTGGGGGGAACTTGGAGGATGTTTTTAGTTGCAAAATCGGAGATGCGTCTTGGGATTGCGCTGGTCCTCCTCCTCCTCCTTCTCCTCCGCCTCCTCCTCATCACCCTCCTCCTGTGTCCACAAAGCGGTGACTCTCATTGGGCCCCTGCCAGAACCTACGATTTTGCAGGAACTCGCCCAAGATGAGGTCACAAAAACCGACCTCAAAATTATCCCGGCAAAGCAACCTAACAGCGATGTGTAGAAGCATATCTGAAAGCATTCCCCTTAGGATTCAGATGAAAATCCAGTTGTAGAATTCTGCTGTTCTCGCAGTCGTAGTCGCATTCGCGATGACAGTCGCAGCGGCAACGGCAGTCGCAGTCACAGCCTCAGCCTCAGCCTGCCTCAACCTCAGCCTCAGCCTGCCTCAGCCTCAGCCTGCCTCAGCCTCAGCCTCAGCCTGCTTCAGCCTCAGCCTCAGTCTGCCTTCAGCCTCGGCCTCAGCCTCAGCCTGCCTCAGCCTCAGCCTGCATCAGCCTCAGCCTCAGCCTCAGCCTGCCTCAGCATCAGCCTGCTTCAGCCTCAGCCTCAGCCTGCCTCAGCCTCAGCCTCAGTCTG